GTTTGCCAAACACCATCCTCAGTAAGAAGTTTGAACAACCATTTACTGAGTAGGGCCTCATTTTTGACCTGCAAGTCATGAATTCCGAGCCCTCCTTGGTCTTTCGGCCTACAAACCACGCTCCATTTGGCCAGCCTGTATTTTTTTCTTTTCACCGTCTCCTTGCCAAAAGAATCCGGATCTAAAATAATCCAGTCTTTTTAGGACACCTTTTGGGAGTTGGAAGAAAGAAAGCATATAGAGAACCATATTTGTGAGGACAGAGTTAATCAAAACCAACCGTCCTCCAACTGAGAGTAGTTTTCCTTTCCAACTACTCAACCGTTTCTATAGACGCTCCTCTACATGCTTCCACTCCGCAATGGTGAGGCGTCGATAATGAATCGGTATTCCCAGATATTTAATCAGGAATTGGCCATGTGCGCAACCAAATAGGTCAGCATAATCGGCCGCCGCCTCAACGGCTTCTCCAAAGCAGAACAATTCACTTTTATGGAAGTTTATTTTGAGACCCGACATTTGTTCAAACGTTGACAGCAAGAGTTTCAGGTTTCGAGCCTTGTCCAGATCATGTTCCATAAAAAGAATTGTGTCATCGGTGTATTGTAAAATAGAGAGGCCACCATCCACAAGGTGTGGCACTACTCCTGCAATCTGGCCGTCCTGCTTGGCGCGCTCAATCAGAATCGCCAACATGTCAGCGACAATGTTAAATAACATTGGGGACATAGAGTCACCCTGCCGTAGTCCTTTTTTTGTTTGAAAGTAATGACCTACATCATCATTGACTTTGATGGCCACACTACCTCCAGTTACAAAATTGTGGATCCACTAGCGCCATTTATCGGAGAAACCTTTCATCCTTAGGGCCTGTTGAAGGAAAGACCACTTGACCTTGTCATGTGCCTTTTCAAAGTCAATTTTGAATATCACTCCACTCATGTTTTTTCGGTGCATGTCGTGGACGGTCTCATGCAGGATTACTACACCATCTAGTATATTTCGCCCTTGCATAAAGGCCGTTTGAGATGGACGGCAACACGGTCAGCTATCAAGTTTAACCTATTCGTAGCCACTTTGGTGAAAATCTTGAAGCTAACATTAAGGAGACATATGGGTCTGAACTGTTGAATCCGTTCAACCTCCTTAATCTTCGGCAACAAGGAAATCTCGCCAAAATATATTCTGAATAGATCAAGTCGATTGGCATGAAGACAATTGAACAACTCCAAAAGGTCAGCCTTGATGATATCCCAGAAATTCTGATAGAATTCTGCGGGGAAACCATCAGGGCCTGGAGCTTTGTTGTGTTCCATTTGGAACACCGCCGCTCTCACCTCCTCCTCTAAGAAAGGTGCCGTGAGGATATCATTCTCTTCTATCGTGACTTGTGGAATATCATCTGTTCGGGTCTCGTCAAGGGTGACATTTCCTTCATCCGACGCTCCGAACAGAGATTTGTAGTAGCTGGTGATATAGTTTTTGAGCTCCCTTTAACCTTCGATCCGCCCCTCGTCCTGTTGGAGACTATGAATACATTTCTTCCTATGTCGACCATTGGCGAGCAATTGGAAGTATCTTGTATTACTATCTCCCATTAGAATGAAGTCAACTTTGGACCTCTGGTAGTATTTGATCTCCTCTTCTCGCAGAAGACGGGCAACCTTCTCATTAGATTGATTTTTCAATTCAATCTCATGTTGAGATAAGGTGCGGGTCTCTGCAATTTTGTTGAGGTCATCAATGATGGTACAAAGGCGCTGCTTTTCTTTTTTTATATAACCCATGTGTTTCGCCCATCTAGAGAGGTGTTGCCTCATGGCCCTTATTTTATTATTCCATCTCTGAATCGGTGTACGACCAATGGCTGGCCTCTCCCAAACTTTCTTGATTATTTCTACAAAACCTTCCCGGTGTAGCCATGCCAATTCAAATTTGAAAGGGTGGCGGGAAGAATGGCTCGTAGAATTAGAATCAAGAATGATTGGTGCATGATCCGATAATGCCTCGATTCTCTCTAGGGCTCGTACGGTTACCATAGGAAATTTTAGCTCCCATACGGTATCCATGAGTACCCTATCGAGCTTCTCGTACGTTGGCACAGAACGGTTATTAGCCCAAGTGAACTGCCGCCCCGACATACAAGCCTCCCGAAGGTCCAAACTATTTAAATAGTATACAAAAATTTATAATAAATATCTTTAAAAATTCTGGTTTTTTTGTAGATGTTCGTATTAGTGTTGCAAGCATCCTTGAAAATTTTCATGTGAAACGGAGCAGCGGTGTTTCGCCGGTGACAAAAAAATCCGGATGGCATTTTGGGGTAACATTTGGTGTTTTTTGTCCTTTTCTTTTCTTTTGCAAAGGCCAAAATGTTAAATCTTTTTGCCTACAAGTTTGTATCTAGCATTTGGATGTGACAAAGAACAATAGAATTTTTATCGGAATTTTTTTGGCACGCGCATGGGAGCGCGCGCTCCCGAGAGCACCAACGGATTTCCGTTGCCTATCTTTGCATTGGTAGCTAGAAAAAGAGTAACAGTGGAATGTTAGATCACCACATGCACAAGATGGTGCGGCTACTAACATGAGTAGAACAAAAGGAGGTGTTCAGCCGTGTCGTGGTGCTAAATCTGACAATAAGATAGGAGTATGAATGGAGCTTGATCTACCGAGATACAATGGGGAACACAACAACGTATACAAGTTTTGGGGCCTCGTCGATGGAGGTCAAACCCTAGTCGTGTCTCTCTAGAGAGTTGCTCTTGTGTACAAATGTTGGATTACAGGGATTGCAAACCATTTCCTAGGTACCCCCGGGCAGGCTTATATAGAGTGCGCCATCCCCGGGGTCCCTTTCAGCTAACTACTTATGACTAAAATTGGTTGCATGCAATAAACAACCCGTCATGGGTAGTAACGGAGGCCATCAACACTAGTGCAAGCGAATCGTAACGCCTCTCTTGAATGCGTAGTGGTGTTGCCTTCGTGACGCACTTGTTAATGTTGACTGTAATATAATCCGAGTGATGGTAAACCGACTGACAATAATCCAACTGACGGATGAACCGACTGAGGGAATTTACTGGATTGGCGCCCACTTCAACTGATAGGCCACCTTGTTGCTGACGTTGCCTTGGGTCGTAACATGTGCGTGTTTGGGCCTCCCTGGGCCCTAGTTGGGTCTTATGTAGCCGTGGGACTATCTGGTGGGAAATAACCCCGTCAAGCCGCATTTTGTACAAAGTCATGGAAGATTTTCCCTTAAAAGAAGTGATGTGTCATCAGCTTTTTTATGGTCCGCGAAAATCATAGTTTTAACACTTAAGTTTTTTTCATTGACATCATATGCATGCCTGGAAAATATGTGCACATAATCTTTTCTAGGGATATATGTGCACATAATCTAATGTAAGGTTTCCCTAACAAAACAACTATGCCACAAAGCATGCATAACTCTACGACAATGGTAGGAGACGTTTTCGCTGCCGTGGGCTGGAGCTTGTGGGCAAATAGTAATAAATTACTTATTGAGAAGGTTATTTGTCTCGTGCTACTAACACTGTGTTTAAATTATTGGTTTTTATGCAGCAATGTCGGCAGCTTTCTAACGAATGGGGCGGAATTTTGCTTGATGCCATGAGTGATCGTTCTACGTTTTCTTCATATTTTGGGCATGTTTTTGTTGTCGGCTCAATAGACTTCTCTTCTGCTTTGCTTGTTGCTTTATCTATAAACCTGGATGAGATCTTGTTTAGCTCTCACAGGTTTGGTTTCAGTCAAAACCATACACGCTATATTCAAATACTTGAGTTTTGTTTCGATCGTCATCAGCTTTTTTCGGCATTTCCCATACCAACTGCATCCTTTCGGCATCATGGCCAAAAGGTTGGCACCCAAGTCTTTGGTCAAATTGCTTTGGTTGTCCAGTTCTTAAGTAGGGTACACTCAAACACCAGTGCCGTAACACGAGCAGTTAATTAGGCCTTACAAATTTTTATTGTGAAGGTTGAATATTGGTACCAAACTCTTAGATAATCACCTGAACGATTTTGGTTGTGTTTGGTATTCGGTGGATTTTTTAAGAGTGGCACTTCCGCACTACACAACCAAGTTAACACGTCACCACTCTTTGGAGAAGCAAGGTGAATTACAAGGGCATGTTCACGCACGAAGAAAGGTAAAGTTGCTACGAGAAAACAACCACCTTATCGTCTTGTTTGGAGAGGCGGTGATGCCAAAGATGAAGGTTGTCGCAGTATGGATGTCCTCGCCCCTAAAAGTCGTGGCGCTTCGTGCATCCCATATCTTTCAAAGAATAGCCATTTTCAGTAGGATGTAAGTCCAGGTAGAGTGTTCGACTCCATGGGTAATACACAATCCTATAGATCATCGAAGGTGGGGGTGGGGATGATGGCAATGTGTTGCCAAATCCTCGTGGTATCTTCTATGTCATTGGAGCATCTCGTGCAGTACTTATTTATCATTTGGCCAATTAACATTTCCCCCAATTTTAGTGAGTAGTTCAACAACGGAAAACATAGATTGGATTATTATGCCAGGTGTCAATAAACTGCTCTTGACAAAATGCTGCAAGAACTGTAAACTCCGCACTTTTCTAAAAGGAAATGGAAGAAGATTGAGCAGAACCACAATAGCAAATGTATCACCAAAAGCAGCACCAACACCAACTAAGAAAAAGCAGCAGCAGCAACAGAGATGCCATAGAAACCAAACGAATCCATTCAAAGGATACAGTCATACTACATAGGAGTACATGATATGATACAGTTGATTCGACTGGGCGCTTTATTTATTTATCTTTTTTTTAACGGGAGGCATGAGCACTACTACTACTATCACTCGATTAGCGATGAAAAAGAGCTTATGTACAAGAGGAACCCGCACATCAAGGTATGGCTCCTCCCTTGTGCCCGCGCCCCTACGTACGTGCCCTGGAATTTACACGTACGTACGGACACCGCCGGTTCACCGGCGCATCAGGCCGGGGCGAAGCGGTCCATGAGCATGCACACCGTGTCCTCGGAGTTGGCGAGGACGGCGCTGTTCCTCCTCCTCCTCTCCTGGATCTGCACCGTCTTCACGGCCTCCACCTCGAGCAGGCCGTCGCCCTGGTGTCGCCGTCCGACGACCTCGGCCTCTGCCTCTACCGCCGGCGCCGCCTCCCGGCCGAACTTGGCGAACCAGACGCCGACCACCCCAGCCATGGCTCTAACTCTTCGCTCTGCTACGTACACAGCACACTCTCTGGAAAAGAAGGCTGTTGAGCTTGATTAGCCTCTTCTCTTTCACTGCTTGGATGAGTGGGTGTTCCTTTAACTCTGAGTTGCCGGCTCTACTTATACAACTCGCAGGTGTGAAGGAAGGCACCAATCGGCCGGCACTCGCGAGCTGCTGCCAGTGGGAAAAGTGGAGGAAACTGCGCGCGGGGCCGAATGGTAGGCGCCTCCTCGGGCCGGTGTTTTGTTTGGGTGCCGCCGAGTGGCGGGCGAGCGGCCACAGCTCATCGGCTTTGTCCGTTGCGGCGCAGGCCCATGCCGTGCCGTGCATTTGCCATGTGACGCACGGCGCGGCGCGACGCGCGATCGGAGGCCAAGCTAATGAACGTGAGGCTGCCGTCGCGCGCGCGGTGGAGAGGGGATATCCTCGCGCGTACGATTGATTCCGCGCGCGGGCGGATCCGGAGAGAGATGCCGCTGCCAGGATGCTGCGCGCGCGCGGTGACTACTGACTGCCCCCGGGGGCGGGTGCAAGTGCAGCGGCCGGCGATGCGGACCGTCGCCCTCACGTACGTGCTCACCGCGCCCCGTGCTCGCATGGTTGTGCAGTCCAGGTTCGCTGCACCACCCGGACGTAGTATTTGATCCGGGGAATCGAAGAATCTGAGCAAGGTTTATGCCGCCGATGGCGGGGCGCGCCAGAGATCGGAACGTTTTGTGAGGTGCAGCAGCAGCGGGAACGTTGAGGTTCAGAGAAAACTTTCAGTATGCATGGGCAGGTGAAGTTCAGACTTCAGAGAAAACGTTGCACTGGCTAACACACGATGCATCTTCTGTACTTCATGTCTGAGTTTCTGGTAAGAATTGAAGCAAAATATCTCAGCGAAGTGAGATATTTCTTTATGTCAAGCTTGAGTTTCCCGTCCGTTCCAAAAACGTATAAGAAGCAAAAATATCTCAGTGAAGAGAGATATTTCGCTACTACTTTAGCCGCCCGAGTGGTGGTAATGAATTATAGCTCCCCTCCCACTTGGCCGCACCGTCTCCATCGATCGTACATGCCCATGAAAATGAACTTTTTTTCCCTCTAGGGACCATCATGAAAACGGACTTGACTGGAGAAGAGATAGGCGTTGATTTGTATTGTAACAGAGACATTCAGAAGGCGCCGAATTTGATAATTCAGCAGGCTACAGCAATCGCGAAAGACACTTTAGTTGCATTGCACCTAGCTAGAGCTTAGGAACGTGTTGCTGCATAGCGTTCGGTGCAATCTACTGACCGAAGCAATCGACCAGGATGGACAAGAAGGCGTCCTCCCGGACGAGCACCGGCGACGACGGCGAGCCAGCGCCAGCGCCGGCAGCCTGATCCCTGGCCGGCCAAGCCATGACACCATCAGCTGTTGGCGTTCCATTTCCGTCGCCGGACGGCTGAGCTACGTGGCCGCCTTCTTGTGCGCCGGGCGAAGCCGTGGGTCTGAACGGCTCCCCCGCTCTCCTCGTGGCCCGAATCCTGTCCACCTCCACCGTCCAAATATCTATCAGGCTCGACATGGATCGGTCGCGGCTCGCAGGGAACAGAACAACTGAGCCGAGCTGCAAGAGAGACAGAGAGCGACGAGCTGAATGCGAGGATCGATCAGGGAGATCTTCAGTGTGAGTGGGCAGCAAGGGCGATGCGATTTTATAGAGGTGCCTGCAGGCTGCATGTGCAGATAAATAGGAGTACATACAGAGGCGCCATGGCCTGGAATGGCTCTTGGAGTCTGTTGGAATCAGGGGATACTTGGTGCTTCAGCACACAGGATTGAAGCTTTGCTACTTTTTTTAGAGGAATGTTCTTGTCGATCTGGAAGCGCGCGCCCACGGGAGCGGGAGGAGGTCGCCGCTTGATCGTGCTCCGAATGACAGTACGTGTTTTTTTCTGATGGTAGGCGCAGCGGGCCAGCGGCGGCAGGCCGTTGGGCATACCGTGGGTGGAGTCGCGGCGGTACCGTGGGCTCTCTGATAGTCTGACGGCGACAACTACGGAGGTATATCAAGGGGACCGTTCTGCACTTCTGCTGTTGCCATCGCTCCTGCTGCTGAAATTGACTCTGGCTGCCTCCTCATGTCTCTGCTTACGAACGCCAACTCTGTCTAGAATATTTCTACAAGGCGGTAATTTTTTGTAACTGTGTGAATTATGCTGTCCTCTGTGCAGTTTTTTGTGGTGTTTTCATGTTCCAAGCTGAGCCGAGCTAGCCAACCATGGCAGGTCCTACTGGTGTGGTAGACTGGTAGCTCGTTTATCAAGCAAGCTGATGACTGCTTTTGTGGTATTTGTATTGACCGACTGCTAGTACAGACTTACCACAAGCTGGCAATGTTCTCTTCTCTTTTTTGTCTGAGATTTTTATGGTCCAAGCTGATATTTTTTTTCCCTTGAGAAAAAGACACCCAAAATTATCTTATATCTGCCAATTATCAAGGAGAAAATACATGGTACAATGAAATGACAACAAGACATGAAAATGCTCACTAAAATATAAAATTACATCAAAAACATACCACACTGCTTGTTCATTCGATTGTATGTTGTCCACTGGAGGTTAAAAAATGCACCGAATCAACAGTAAGTGAAAGGGGCACCTGCAAACGCCTTTGGCCTACCCTGCTTTGAAGGCCACAGTAACCACTCATCACTAATAAAAATGATATCTAGTAACCACTGAAGATACATCGGTTGGGGCATCACCCAGGTAGCGAAGGCTTGCAATCCTTTGCCATCAGTCCAGAGTTTGGAAAAACTGGGCCACGCCGCATAACAACTCGAAAAAGAGGTCGAATTCACCGCACCATGAGCAAGCTCACTACTTCGTTTGATTCACACACATAGGTAAGAGATTTGGGCAACACTTGCCCTCACAAACCCCTTCTTTGTTGTATTATAAGTCGGTGTCGAGGTAGGGAGTGTTAGAGAGACCTTATTCCAATGCACCATCACTGCCACTACCTTGTTCATGCCATTGGAAAACCAGGACGACATAACCTAAAGGAAACAACTAAGACCTACTAGCAGTGAGAACAACGAAATGAGCGAGTCCCCATGCCTCTGGCCGTCGTCGAACCGCGAACAGAAGAAAGGAAGGGAACCGAGGCAACAGCGTTGAGGAGACCTTGGTGGCGGCTAATGTTTAAAAAAGCCCAACCTAAACATACCAAGATAGGTCTGGCCCAAACATTAAGACATAGTCTTTCCCCTTTATGTTATTAAATATATGAAATGGTTAAAAATATATTGAGCATATTGATATATGTATTATATTTTATGCATTATTTTTTTATTGAATTTTAAAAATGTTTAAATATAAATTTAAGAAAATTAATATATGTATTGTGCATATGCATTTTTTCGGGTTTCGAATCGAGCTTCGGGCGTAAAATAGGAACTCAAGCCTAGGGTACCGGTTGGGCTCGATCTGAAATACCCATGCCCACATTTAGTTCACACGTAAAACTTGAGTTATGTCTATATATCAGTTGAAAGTATCAAGGGGTCGACTAGAGTAGGGGTGGATAGGAAACTACAAATTTTAGGTTAATGCGAATAAACTAGGTTCTCTAAATGTGCAACTAGATGAACACAACATGTGTGGCAAACAAGCTCAAAGAAAAGGAAGCTAGGAAAAAAATTAATTTAGCAAGCCAACAAGCATAGAAAGCAAGTAAAGGTACGGGAAAGGTTTAACCACCTAAATTAGCAAGCCAACAAGCATAGAAAGCAAGTAAGGTACGGGAAAAGATTAACCACAAGTGAGTCAAGGACGTGGATCTATCCCGTAGTTCACACTCTTTGGTGACTAGTAATTTCCGTTGCAGCAGTGCCGAAGCCAAAGCTCTGGAACCACAAGTACAAATTTAAAAAATGGTGTTTACAAGCCTACATAAGAATCAAATAAAAGGCAAGGGCTTGCAATGTCTCCAAGCACACAATCCAAAAAAAAACTTTTTTCCTCGTTTGGCATCAAGACACCAACATGGGTAAAAGGCGATGCTAACGCAAAGATCTAAATGGTGGGAGAGGTGCTATCTGCATCGTCATGCTCGCCATTGAAGTTGTATTTGCGACACGGGTTGGAGTACTCAGTAGCCAACCTGTTAATGTCCTTTCCCAGGTGGCGCTGGCCCTCCTGAGTTGTGTGCCTGATACGTCTCCGTCGTATCTACTTTTCCTAATGTTTTTCCTTTTGTTTTGGACTCTAATTTGCATGATTTGAATGAAACTAACCCGGACTGACGTTGTTTTTAGCAGAACTACCATGGTGTTATTTTTGTGCAGAAATAAAAGTTCTCGGAATGGAACGAAACTTTGCGAGAAATTTTTTATATAATAAAAGAGAAATTCTGGAGCCAAGAACCATCGGAGGGGGGCACCTGGGTGGGCACAACCCACCAGGGCGCGCCACCCCCTCTAGGCGCCGAGGTGGGTTGTCCCCACCTGGTGGCCCCGCAGACCCTGAAACCGACGCTATAAAATCCTATTTTTTTAGGAAAAAATCGAGGAGAAAGAATTATCGCGTTTCACGAGATGGAGCCGTCGCCGTCTCCTATTCTTCATCAGGAGGCCAGATTTGGAGTCCGTTTGGGGCTCCGGAGTGGGGGATCTTCGATCTTCGTCATCACCAACCCTTCTCCATCGCCAATTCCATGATGCTCCCTACCGGGAGTGAGTAATTCCTTCATAGGCTCGTTGGTCGGTGAGGAGTTGGATGACATTCATCATGTAATCGAGTTAGTTTTGTTAGGGCCTCATCCCTAGTATCCATTATGTTTTGAGATTGATGTTGCTATGACTTTGCCATGCTTAATGCTTGTCACTTTGGGCCCGGGTGCCATGATTTCAGATCTGTACCGTTTATGTTATCACCATTATATCCATGTTCTAGATCTGATCTTGCAAGTTATAGTCACCTACTACGTGTTATGATCCAGCAACCCCGGAGTGACAATAGTCGGGACCACTTCCGGTGATGATTGTAGTTTGAGGAGTTCATGTATTCATCGTGTGTTAATGCTTTGTTCCGGTTCTCTATTAAAAGGAGGCCTTAGTATCCCTTAGTTTTCAATATGGACCCCACTGCCACGGGAGGGTAGGAGAAAACATGTCATGCAAGTTCTTTCCAGAAGCACGTATGACTATTGACGGAATACATGCCTACATTATATTTATGAACTGGAGCTAGTGCCGTATCGCCCTAGGTTATAATTGTCTCATGATGAATATCATCCAATGAATCATCGATCCAATGCCTACTATTTTCCTACATATTGTTCTTGCTAAGTTACTATTGCTACTGTCACTATTGCACTTGCTACAAAATCATTGCTATCACTGTAACCGTTGCTATTGTTGTTGCTACTACTATCAAAACTATCATACCACTTTTCTACTGATCACATTGTTGCAGATAATTAATCTGCAGGTGTGGTTGAATTGACAACTTAGCTGCTAATACTTGCAAATATTCTTTGTCTCCCCTTGTGTCAAATCTATAAATTTGGGTTGAATACTCTACCCTCGAAAACTGTTGCGATCCCCTATACTTGTGGGTTATCAAGACCTTTTTCTGGCGCTGTTGCCGGGGAGCATACCTATATTTGTTGAGTCACTTGGGATTATTATCAATTTATCACTATGAAGAATCTGAACGATGCCAAGACTAAGATTTTTCCCTCTAAGACGAGGGGAGGTAAGGAACTGCCATCTAGCTCTGCTTTAGATTCACGTTTTGTTATAAGTAAACTTGCAACACCACCGCATGCTATCAATCATGATATGTTGCAAGTTATCGATGATGCTACTTCTACTATGAATGCTACTCATGATGATGCTAGTACCTTGCTTGATGATGATGTGCCACTAGGTGAATTTCTTGGTGAACAAATTGCTAAAGTAAGACAACATGATATTGTTGAAACTGATGACGAGCTTGAAACTGAAAATCTTGAAACACCTACTAGAACTAGCCGTCCTAGATATGAATTGCGAAAGGTGCCGGAATGTTATGCTATGAGTATGGAGGCAACTAGAGATATTCTTGCTTGTAAGGATAGAGATGATCTAGAAAAAATATTATGCAAGTATAAAGAAAGATCTTTAAATGCTAGAATGAAATCCTAAGTTTGCTACTTAACCTATCTTTATTGATGATAAGGATTATGAATTCTTTGTCGACCAGAGTTAATTACTTTGGTTGAATCTGATGCTTTCCATGGTTATGAAACTAAAACTGTTGTGGCACATTTTTACTAAGCTGAATGACATAGCCACCCTTTTTGCTCATGATGAGAAAATTCGCTATTACTATATCCTCAAATTATTTCCATTCTCATTAAAGGGTGATGCTAAAGCTTGTTACAATACTCTTGCTCCTGGTTGTGTGCGTAGTTTCCAGGATATGATTTATTACTTCTTTGAAAAATATTTCCATGCTCATAAGAAACAAGCTGCCTTGTAGGAAATATTTAACTTTGTGCATTGAAGAAGAGAGTCTCCACAAGCTTGGGGAGGC